GTGATGGTGTGATCTGGAATTGTCATCTCGCTGTTACTTATTTACCTTGCAATTTCCAATAATTTCGCAAAAAAATAACAAGATCCAAGGAATATTCCAATAAATTCGCGAAATAATTTTCTCGTTTGCAAAATAATTTCGCGAAATAACCATGATAATTGGCAGACATAAATCCGCGGAGCTTTTCAATTTTCAAGAAAATAAATCGCGGGAATAATAAATAAATCCGCGGAATATTCCGATTTTTCAAGAAAAAATAAATCGCAGAAATAAACAAATAAATCCGCAGAATATTCCAATTTTTTCAAGAAAAATAAATCACGAAAATAAAAAAATAAATCCGCGGAATATTTCGATATTTCAAGAAAAAATAAATTGCAGAAATAAACAAATAAATCCGCGGAATATTCCGATTTTTTCAAGAAAAATAAATCACAAAAAAAAACAAATAAATCCGCGGAATATTCTGATTTTTCAAGAAAAATAAACCGCGAATTCTTCGGGGAATTTTTCGATTTCGTAGAAACGAATTTGCACAAAAGGACAACTAGGCAAAGTTGCGATAATCAGGAAATAAATAATCTATCTATCAATCAATCGATTAAACAATAACGGATCAATCAAGCAATCAATCAATCATTCAATCAATCAATCAATCAATCAATCAATCGATCAACTAATCAATCAATCAATCAATCAATCAACTAGTCAATCAATCAATCAATCAATCAATCAATCAATCAATCAATCAATCAATCAATCATTCAATCAACTAATCAATCAATCAATCAATCAATCAATCAATCAATCAATCAATTAGTCAAACCTAATTAACCAACGAACCAATCAATCAATCAATTAGTCAAACCTAATTAACCAACGAACCAATCAATCAATCAATCAATCAGTCGATCGGTCGATCGGGTTGATTGATCGATCGATAATCTGGGAGTCCAGATTCACAAGCGCAGCAACGATACCAACTGATACATGCTTATTCGAGCAATGTGCAATGACTTGCTGTTTTCTGGTCGCTTGTAGCCTCTCTCTGTCAAGGCGGTACTATAGGTAGGACAAATTCGCAATTTTGTTTGGCTGATGGCTAACCGAGAGACCTACCTGTGAGGAAATTCGTGAGGGACATATCTGCAAGTTCGGGAAATATGCGGTCCCGGTACTAACCGAATTCCCTACAGCTACCCTAACTGCGGCAGCAGGCCCGGGCTACCCCTAGGACAGACATGCCCTAAGGGCCTATTCTGATAGACGGTCCTATAGCCTATAGCCGGGTCCGGTAGAGGCCGAGAGGCCGAAACAGAAACGGTACCAGTCGGTCAGTCAATCCGGTCTAGGTCGAGTCTAGGCTAGTGTAGTCTATAGATAGGATGGGCACATCGGTTCAGGGCTTTTGGCAATTGGTACCGAGTACATCGCTGCTGCCCTACGCGTGAACCGGAAGTGATGACAGCTCTGCGTGGAAGGAGACAGGCATAGCTAGACCTTCGGAGCGTCGGCCATAGCTGGGACCTGTGCTGTACTCTGCCAGCACGCAGGGGCTGACAGAGGTCTGGGTTATCGAGGTCTGCTGGAGGCGAGAGAGATTGGTGCCCTGCTGGACCCTCCTCCGGATTGGGGTTCCAGGGTAGTGGCGCTGCAGCCATAGCTGCAGCTTCTTCCTCAGAGGTCATCTTGTCAGGTTTGGTGGCGCTGCTGCAGACTTCCACCCGGGAAGTCTTCCAACACTTCGTCATCATCAGATACTGTGGCGCTGGTCTTCTTCTTCATCCTCTGAGTGGCGCTTGGCCTCAGAGGCCTGTTTAAGGGTGGCGCTTCCCTCATGAGGCTGTATTTGGGTGGCGCTTGATGTTTCAGGGACTCAGGGGTATTACGGGTGCTAATCAGGGTTGGGGAGTGAAGCGCTGCTCATTTCTGAGCAGCGCACTGTAGTACTGAAGTTATCCTGACAATTCGAGACTCTGAGTTTAATAAACAGTGTGTAACTAGGTTTGGACTATCATCGTTTCATTGTTTCCTGGATGTGATCTGCTCGGCTTTTCTCTATGACTGGTTGTGAGGATTGAGTGGAGTGAATTGCACTTTCAGTGTACACTGTCATATCACATGGTCAAGTCTTCCGCTGTGTTATCTCTCCCTGTGCGGTGTGATACTCCTATCCTCTCCCCTTCCTTTTGTGTATGTATGGGCATACCTGGGAGTCTATGTGAGTGAGTGTTGGTCTACAGACAACAAACAACCAGAATCATAACAAATGTATATGGAGCCGAGGATCCGCAAAGTGATGAAAAGGACTCGTACGGACAATGCAGTGTCAGCAAAGCATCAACCAGCAATGTACCTCTAGAAAATAGCACAAAGTAGCGCAACGGAAGGCTCAAAGATATGACCTGACCGATCAGATACTGACACGACCTCCCATCATACATCACACATGCGAGAGGAAGAGGAGGGACCACATACATGGAAGAAAGGTCCCTCCTCATACACATAGATGGGGAAGATACCACGAATGAGAGATGGGGGAGAGGCAGGACGAAGATGGAGGTGAGGAAGAAGACCAAGATCGCGATAGCGAAGTCCAGAAATAGCCTCCCTGCCGAATGTCCAATCAATGTCTGCCACAAAATGTCGAATCAGATCCTGGGCCAATGCGTGATGTAACCTCTGCCTGTGACCTCTCTCTCTCTTTCTCTCTAAAAGAAGAAGAAGAAGAAGCAGAAGAAGAAGAAGCAGAAGAAGAAGAAGCAGAAGAAGAAGAAGCAGAAGAAGAACAAGAAGAACAAGAAGAAGAAGAAGGAGAAAGGAGGGAGAAGAGATGGAGGGCGAGACGAAGAAGAAGAAAGTGTCGTCCTCCTCGCTGTCTCACCTGCAGGTAACTGCCGCCATGTACTAAGTGTCGTCTGGTCCTGTGCAGGTCGCCGGCGTGGAGCACGGCTATGGCGCCCAGGTAAGTACCGCCGACGCAGGCATGGCCTCCGCCCCTCTGCCTGCCTACACCTCTACCTCTACCCCAGCATAGCGCGGTAGCGCTGTAGCGCTGGTTCAGCAGTGTGCCGCCCAAAGAAGTGGGCTACTCCAACTGTCGGTCTGTCCTGGCTATAAGTAGTGCTGGGCCTCGTCGGTCTGCCTCCGTGTGCCTCTGGTCCTAGGCCAAAAACGTGGCCTACTGGGTCTGGGTCCCGACCGGACGTCCAGACCCTGCCTGCTGATGCAGCAGGGACGTCCGTAGCTGGACGAGCACGAACCTGGCCTCAGAGGGCCCTGCCTCCTGGTGTACCCAGCCCAAGGCGGAGCTTTGGGGACTGCAAGTCCGAAACGATGCCTGAACAGACAAAAATAAGACAGCAAATAAATAAATAAATAAATAAATAAATAAATGAATGCTGTCGTAAATCAAATCCTGCCCCTAGGGGCCGCCGTGGGCCTCCAGGATGCGCGTCAAAAGGGCGCGCGGCCTGGGGGCCCCTCAGCAACCGTCGGGCCCCTGAAATGGGGCCCGTGTGCAGGCACAGCATGTAACAAGGCCCTTGTTTTCAGGCTTTGAGGCTGGGAACGCTGGTTGGGCCCTGCAGGCCCGTGTGGCTGCGCAGTATGCCAAAGTGGCCCGGCCGTGCAAGGACCAGGGAAGGTCCCAGGCAAAAAAAAAAAAAAAAAACGAAAAAAAGGTTAAGAAACTAATGTTATGCAGAAAAATAAAGTGAACAACGTTTGCCTCAGTGTCACATCGAATTCTTTAAGAAATTTAAAATAAAAAGGAAATTAAAAATAATTTTTAATTTAAATAAATTAAATATTTTTCATTTTCTGAATTTTTATTTTTTGTTTGGCCCGGCCGGGCAGGTGGTCCCGGGGTTACTGGCAATTAGATGCAAGCGACTAAATACTGGTCCAGAGCAAGTGATCTATGGTCTCCTCTGTTCTCCTCCTTCCCCGAACAACCCCTCGAACCAAAAATGGAGGCATGAACCACTACAATCCACTATGTTCCATCCCGATTAAGAAAGCCCAAAAGGTTGAAGTATGTCTTGATCAGGAAAGTGGCTTTGTGGGCAATCCTGAAAGAAGGACACACTGTCCCACTGGGCAGAACAAGACACCTTGGGGAAAGAACGGGCATCAATAAAAAGTACTATCCAACTAGAATCAGACGCAAATGGTGACAGATGGAGGAGCACATTCAAAGACCCCGATATGGAGCTGAGAAGCACAGCAATAATTCTTTTTCAGGCTTTCAGCACCATTGGCTAGCCACTGGCAGCAAAGGCAGAGTAGCAACAGTCAAAGTGACAAACTCAGATGCAAACGATAAACACTGTAAACAAGCTACAGGAAGGAGAAGCAGCCTCAGGAGGAACGAAATCCACACTCTGGGCATAAGAATAGGGAATAAAGAGAGGAGGGGGAAAAAAGAACGGAGGAACGGGGATTGGCAACTGTACCCAGCCCATGTGCCTCATTGGTACACCCGTGAAATGTTGATAAACATACCTAAGTTCAAACCCTGATGGAATCAGATGAATAAAATCACTCTGAATCACATGGGGCTGTTGAGATACCTCTCGTTCCACTCGGGAAAATAAAAAAGGGATTAGCGACTAGTTACTTGGGAGGAGACTTGGCTGAACAGAAGCTGATTCCCACGAGAGCATGGGGAACAACAAAGTGAAGAGTATATTACTATCTTCACAAGAACAGAAACCCTGTTGCCACAAGGAAAGAAGATGGTATACCAAGCTGGTGAGCATCGATTGGGTGCCAGCGGGTGCGCAGAGGGGAGTGGGAAAAGGGGGG